CACGCAGCCAAAAGGCAAAGAGGTAAAGAAAGGGAGGAGGAAACCAAACCTGACAGGGAAAGAAAGATAGGGAAAGAAAGATAATCCAATTATCACAAAGCAAATAACACATCCCACAGATCAACGTATCTTTTTTCTTTTTTTCTTTTTTTCTTTTTTTCTCTTTTTTCTTTTTTTCTTTTTTTCTCTTTTTTCTTTTTTTCTTTTTATCTAGATATGTATATCGTCAATTGCGTCAATTGCTGTCATTTTTTTTAAGCCTGATCCCTCTCTGTTCTTTCCCGTATTTGCTGCACAAAACGGCAAAACAAAAAGTGGAAACATCCATCCAATGCATCCATCCAACATCAGGTAGAGCTGGGATCATTGAATTTGGTCGTACGGCGTATAATCATTTCTAGTTTACTTACCCACTGCACCTCTTATTACACTCAGAACCTCGCTCGACTACTCTCCACATGCACAAAAGACAAAAACTATCGCTGCGTATCTTTCCATGTTCTAGCGGAAGATTCATTCTCATTTTTGCATATTTGGAGAGTAGTGTAGCGAGGCCCTCAATTACATCCGGAGAGACAAATTCTTTCCAAGACCAAAGGGACAATTTTAATGCCAACTTCAAAACACAAACAAAAAAAAAAACAGTGCCAACAACGTCGCAACAGCCAGAACTGCGTTTACGTGAGAACATGCGGGGGCTGCTCCCGGCCTGCATCACTATAATTAGTAGTGAGTGGTAGGTAGGTAGTGTGAGGTGAAATTGAGAGAAGAATGTGGCTTACTTTTCAGGGGAGGGGGAGGAGAGGAGCCCCGGTGGGGGGGGGGGGGGGGGGGGGGGGGGGGGGGGGGGGGGGGGGGGGGGGGGGGGGGGGGGGGGGAGGAGGAGAGGGACTTTCAAAACAGCAAAATGGGACAGACGTACTCGATTGGAAGCTGTACTTCAGCAATGCCCGTGGTCCATTGAGTGGAACTTTCCTCTGCTGTTCGTTTTTTCACCTGCAAGTACCACAACAACGTTCAGTACCGTCTGTCAGAAACAGAGAAGGGGGCGGGGAGGGGAGAGCGGGGGGGGCATAAAAAAAAAAAAAAAAAAAAAAAAAAAAAAAAAAGACTAGGAAAGGAAAAAAAAAAAAAAAAAAAAAAAAGGGAAAAAAA